CAGACTCACCCCTGACCCACACTCCAGACTCACCCCAGACTCACCCCGGACCCACACTCCAGACTCACCCCGGACCCACACCCCAGACTCACCCCGGACCCACACTCCAGACTTACCCCGGACCCACACTCCAGACTCACCCCCTGACCCACACTCCAGACTCACCCCCTGACCCACACTCCAGACTCACCCCGGACCCACACTCCAGACTCACCCTGGACCCACACTCCAGACTCACCCCAGACTCACCCCGGACCCACACTCCAGACTCACCCCCTGACCCACACTCCAGACTCACCCCGGACCCACACTCTAGACTCACCCCCTGACCCACACTCCGGACTCACTCACAGGCCTACCTGGCCCTACCTGCTCGCCACCTCCCATCCTTGGCGTTCGTCCGGTGCCTCGTTGAGATGCCACCCGTGGTGGGGCGGCGCCCTCCCACCCGTGCCTTCTCTCCACTGCGCACGGTCTCCATGCTCGTGCTCGTACAACTGCCATCCTGCCCACCAGGAGGGGAGTGGTGAGTGGCTGCCCAACGGGCAGAGTGAGCAAGTGAGTCCTCATGTCCTGGGGGTCCTCATCTGCCCGATGTCCTGTCTGACTGGGGCCGCCGCCCATGCGTTCACAGATAACCTTGCCTTCCTCTCCTGAACACCTGCACACTGTCCTTGGGACCTGTGGGGTGCAGCCAGGCACAGCTGGTGGTGGCTGCTGAAGCAGGAGCTGTGGGTGCCCCTAAGCCAAGGGGGCGTGCGCTGTGCTGGGGGAGAGCGGCGTGAGGGGAAGGAAGGGGGTCACCTGGTGGGCACGTGTCACACCTCCCACAGAGGCGCACAGATCAGGGTTGGGGTGGGAGGGCTGATGATTCTAACAGTGAGAGTAGCCTCAGCAGGATGAAACAGGCTAGACTCGAGGTGTTGGGGGGTCCTGAACGTCTGTCCCAAAAAGGACCTGCAGCTGCTGTGTGGAAGAAGGCGGGGCGTGTGTAGAGCCCACGAGGACCAGAGTTCTTCCTACTGAGGTGCACCCAAGGGCATTGAGCTGAGGATTCGCTTTTGACCACAGGGAACCACGTCACCCACAGTGGGGGTCTGCCAGGCTGTGAAATGTAAAACCCCAGCTGTCCTGGTCAGACCTGGACTTACTGTAGAGAGAGTGCCACGGAATTCCCATGTGGGACCCCTGGCTTCATGCCTGTGCACTAGCGTTGGAGACGTAACACACATTGGAGATGAAACACTCATGTTCCAATTGGAGCACGGTCTCAGACAAGACGGGACAGGAAGCCCTGCTGCCAAGGGAAGGGCACCGAGGACAGCACCAGCCCGGCCCGGGAGGGCTGAACAGAGTCCTCTGTGTGGAGGGGGCTGTGCACCCTGCTGCTGAGGGAGTGCACTGTGGAGAGCGCCAGGCTGGCCAGGAGGGGCCAGAGTCCTCAGCGTGGCTGGGGCTGTGCGCCCACCAGTGCTGTCTTAGAATCGGCGTGAGGGGCTGGGTGCAGGGCTCTTAACCCGTTATCCCAGCATTCTGGAAGGCTGAGGTGAGTGGATCACTTGAGCCCAGGAGTTTGAGACCAGCCTAAGCAACAAAGTGAGACCCCTTCTCTACAAATTTTTTTCAAATTAGCTGGGCGTGGTGGCAGGTGCCTGGGATCCCAGCTAGACGGGAGGCTGAGGTGGGAGGATCACTTGAGCCTGGGAGGTGGAGGCTGCAGGGAGCTGTGATCTCACCACTGCACTCCATCCAGTCTGGGCGAGAGAGCGAAACCTGTCATAAAGAAAAAACAAAACAAAACAAAACATTAAGTTGGGAAACAAAGGTAGAAAATATAGGAGAAATCGAGACTTTGTGGGAGACCCAACGTTCACCTGCTATGAAGGGGTTTCAGAAAAAAGAAAGTATTGAAGAAAAGAAGCAAGAAAACAACGAATCTGTGTGGCCGGTGGTCCAGACGTGGGGCTGTGGGACAAGTGGTGATCTGCGGCCTCACCCTGAGCCGTCGGGTCTTGGGCGGCGTAGGGGTGGAGGTGCTGTCCTTGGTCCCTCTGGGGGAGTTGGGGGTCACTGTGGCTGAGGACCACCTGAGTGCTCACCCTCAGCCTCCCGGTGCCTGGGGTGGTGCGAAGTCCCAGGCCGGCTACTCTACTGCCACGGGTTCCACTGCTGGACGCTGAGCACCGCCCCCTGTGCCCGGCCACTCTCGGAGCCTGGGTTACTTGGGGTTTTTTGCTTTCATGTAAATCATTGGTTGTAACTACCGTGATACCAGCCATAATGTGTTTATGTATTACTTGGCCTGTATTATTCACTTGCTGTTGGTTTTGACATGAGGGGCTGCCCCGGGAGGGGCTATAGGTGTCCTGTGGGAGGGGAGGCGTGGCCGTCTGGCACGTGGCCTGGCTCCGCGCGCATGTGTGTCCCTCAGCTCCTCTCCATGGGACAGGCGGGGCAGCCTGACCTTGTGCCCGGCTGTGGCTACAGTCCACCTGAGCGTCCAAGCTTTTGGTCCTTGGCAGCTGTTCTGTTCCTAGGGTCTCAGAGTGGCCCTGAGCAGTCCACGGTGCAGACCCACAGTGTAGACTGGAGATGTATCTTGAGTAGTGGCCAGTGCTGGCCTGGCCTCATGGAGTCTGGGGAGTGGGAGGGTGTGCGAGGCCCTTGAGCCATCACCTTCTGACCAGCAGCCGCTTCCTTCCTCTAAGGACCTCGTGAATATCGAGATGTTCCTGACGGCCAAAGAGGTGGAGGAGTCCCTGGAGCGACGTGAGACGGCCACATGCCTGGCCTGGTGCCACGACAACAAGTCCCGGCTCCGGAAGATGAAGGTGCAGGGACTCCCGGATTGGGGTGGGGGGTGGGGTCAGGGCCTTGGCGGCGCCACCTGCCCTGGAGCCAGCTCATTCTCACCTGGTGGTTCACAGTGGTTTGGTTTTGGTTTGTCAGGTGGCGGTTGGGTTCGGGAGGTTTTTTGGTGGTTGTGTTACACTGTGAGGCTAAAATCTGGAAAAGTGCACCTCATTTGGCATTAGTTTGCATACTCGTGGCATGAGGCTCAGAGGGTGGGTTACGGGAGGCCGACCATGTGCACCCAGCACGTCTGGGGCTACTGGGCTTGGAGCCGGGAGATGCCTCAGTCCCATTCCATGGAGGCTACCCCGGGGACTCCCTGCACTCAGACACAGAAAAGCTGGTTGGGAAGTCATTCTCCTATTGTGAGGCTGCAGAGCTCTGGACTGTGATATTCGTAATGAATACTCATTTTTCTTTTCTTTTCTTTTCTTGTCTTTATTTTTTTTTTGAGATGGAGTCTCACTCTGTTGCTAGGCTGGAGTGCAGTGGCGTGATCTTGGCTCACTACAACCTCCGACTCCTGGGTTCAAGCAATTCTGCTTCAGAGTAGCTGGGATTACAGGTGCCCACCCCCACGCCCAGCTAAATTTTGTGTTTTTAGTAGACATGGGGTTTCACCATGTTGGCCAGGATGTTCTCGATCTCCTGACCTCATGATCTGCCCATCTTGGCCTCCCACAAAGTGCTGGGATTACAGGCGTGAGCCACTGCGCCCGGCCAAATACCTGCTTTTCTAGAGACCACAAGAGGCCTGATAAATAGACTCTTAAACGACAGAATTAACCTGCTTATTAAAAGGCAGTGTCACCCTAGGGCTTGCAGAAATGTTTTAACTTAGATGAACAGTCCTGCCTCCATTAGCAAACTGTTTTCTGAACTGAGTGCTGCTTTAACCCCACCCTGACTGAGCTTGGCAGGGTGCACGCTCTGCCACTCCGGGCCGCCAAAGCAAGCACCCAGCGAAGACGGGACAATACAGTAGAGCGGCCAGTGGCTCCCCTAAAGAGGGTGAGGGTCTTGGTATGGAAACCCTAAAAGGAAAGCCAGATTGGTATGTAACCCGTGGCACCCCCACACAGTGCCAGCCCCACAGTCCTTCCCAAAGAGCCAGCACACGCCTCACGTTGGGAGCTCCGCCGGGCCGTTTCATGTGCACGTCAGAGGGAGGATAGGTTCTCGGTGCTGCCAGGATATTTCTGCAAGCCTTGAGACCTAATTACATACCAGACAGTGTTGCTAAAGGGCGTCGGGGGCTTGCCGTGGGTTCACGACCCGTCTGAAACTGCCGTGGGGTCAGGCAGGGCCAGGACTCAGGGAACTGAACGTGTGTGTGCCTGGTGGATGGGTGTGCCTGGTGTCGGATGAAGTTGAGATTGGATGGGGCCTGAATCCATGTTTGGGTACTGTCCAGAAATTCTCCCTCAAGACTCCAGAAGACAAGGAAACATGCCCGGTGCCAGATGACAGCTGAGCAAAGCGGGGTGCACAGCTGTCTGTGCAGTCTGCGTGGCCATCTGAGCAAAGCGGGGTGCACAGCTGTGCAGTCTGCGTGGCCATCTGAGCAAAGCAGGGTGCACAGCTGTCTGTCTGTGCAGTCTGCCTGTGCGTGCTCACATTGTGAGAACCTAGATGGGAAGAAAAACTTGAGACCAGGCTTTACCTGGCTGGGAAATGGATTTCACAGTAATGGGCGGGTGAATGGCCCTGAAGCCAGCTGACATAGTGATTTTTGTGCTGCACATCTGTGGGAAAGTCACACACAGCCATCCATGTGGGTGCCTGGCGCAGAGTGGACACACCTCGTCAGCACTCCACACCATATGGGGCTACGTAGACTCCAGGTATTTTAGATTTGGGTCTAGGTACCTAAGTTTCATGGCATATACACACTTACATATTAGTGGACTAATTAAAAGGAATCTACTAGGCTGGGCAAGGTGGCTCATGCCTATAATCTCAGCACTCTGGGAGGCTGAGGCAGTCAGATCACCTGAGTCGGGAGTTCGAGATCAGCCTGACCAACATGGAGAAACCCCGTCTCTACTAAAAATACAAAATGAGGTGGGTGTGGTGGTGCTTGCCTGTAATCCCAGCTACTCAGGAGGCTGAGACAGGAGAATCACTTGAACCCGGGAGGCGGAGATTGCAGTGAGCCAAGATCATGCCATTGCACTCCAGACTGGGCAACAAGAGTGAAACTGTCTCAAAAACAAACAAACAAACAAACAATAAATAAAAGAACCTAGTGGAGCAGAAGGTGTCATTAAAACGCAGGTTTGAGCCAGGCGCGGTGGCTCACGCCTGTAATCCCAGCACTTTGGGAGGCAGAGGTGGGCGGATCACGAAGTCAATAGATTGAGACTATCCTGGCCAACGTGGTGAAACCCCATCTCTACTAAACAAAAATTAGCTGGGTGTGGTGGCACACGCCTGTAGTCCCAGCTACTCGGGAGGCTGAGGCAGGAGAATTGCTTGAACCTGGGAGGTAGAGGTTGCAGTGAGCCGAGATTGCACCACTGCACTCCAGCCTGGTGCCTGGCAACGGAGTGAGACTCTTGTCTCCAAAAATAATGCAGGTTTGAGGTGTCCGTGTGTGAAGAGGTAACCTAGAGTGAGCTCAGAGTCCTGTTTTTTAGAGCACCCCCTCGGCAGCTGCTTCCTGCCTTTACGCAGAGCCCCGGCACTCCCCTGGCCTAGACAGCAGCTGTTGGGTGGCCCCTGGGAGGCAGGTGGGGCCCTGGTGGGGAGCCTCTGTCTCTTCCTGCTGGTCCTCTCTTTCCCTCCTGCCAAGCTGGCTCTGAAGGGAGCGGAGTGCGGACCAAAGTCTGTCTGCTCATTAGTGGGGTGGGGACTGAGGACCCTGGGGTGACCTTGTGCCTCTTAGGTGGTTTGTACCAAGCCTGGCACTCACCACCCAGAGCCTGTGCCACTGTTGGGGTCAGAGATGGTCCCCCTGCCCCAGCTTGGAGCAAGCCTGTGAGTTCTACATCCAGCCTGCTGACCTGTCTGAGGGCACGGGACAGGGGCTGCAAGGGCTGGAGCTGGGGCGGCCCCTCAGAAAGGGGCCTGGGAAAAGTTCTGGGCAGTGGAGTGATGAGCTTCGATTTCAGTGAAGTCATGGAGTGGATTCATTTGCTTGCCATGTAGCCTTTCTGTGCATGCCATCCTGAGATCCGGACACTGGAACTCAGAGTGACAAATGGCGGCCCGAGCCCAAGACTGGCTCCGTGGTGTTCATGCCCATATCCTGTTTCCGGGGCAAAGCCCGGAAAATGTCTTGAAGCCACACGGAAGATCTTACGGTTTAGGCGGCCACGTCACTGCTGTGGAATCCGCGTCTCCTCCCGGATGACTTTGGTCAGTGTTGCTGCTGCCCTCTCCCCAGCCACAAGTCTCAGCCCACGTTGGACTGAGGTTGCTGAGATTTCAGAGTGAGGGTTGGGCTTCCGTGGGGTTTTCTTAGCTGCAGGCGAGAGGCTCATAGGCAGACACACGTGGGACTTGGTCCTGCAGGAGCTCCCCCAGCCCCCGCCTCACGCATGGCACTGTCCCAACAGCATCCCTGACCCAGCCTCTCTCCCTTGTCCTTGTCGGGAGTCGCCCCTCGGCCTCGTAGCCACCTAGGACCTCAGTGTCCTCTGCGCCAGGCCTCCGCTCCGTGTGCCCCCTGCCTGGGGCCTCGGTGCTGGTCCTGGCTTCTGCCTGGCATGTTCTTGCTAGGTGCCTGTACAGTCCCTTGTCCGTAACCTCGGTGCAGGCACTCCCTGCCAGCTGGCTTAGGTCCTGCCTGCTCCAAGCTTGCTTCTCTGCCTGTGAGGCACCACCCAGCACCCCCCACCTTTGGTCCCTGTCTCCTCCCCACCCCAGGCATCAGCACCCCGGGACAGGACTCGCCCACATTCTCCTGGAACAGCCCTGGGCTCAGGCCAACACTCGGTCTACACTTGGGACAGATGGGTCCAGAGTCCCAGCGGGGTGTAAAGGAGGAAGCAGCGGCCTCAGGGCAGGACCCAGGAAGCTGCTCTGTCCCTGCAGAGGGGTTGGTGCCTTTGTTCCAGTGGCTGTACCTATTGCTCTGCCCTCCCAGCGTCCCCCAGGCCCGTGCTCCTGGGAGCATCCGAGTGTCCCAGCCTTTGGGTTGAAATGCTGGGCGGCTGCACACCCTACCACGCCTGCGGGAGCAGGGGCGGGACTCATGTTCAGAACCCAGCAGTCCCGGGAAGTGTCTGCTTCGGGTTGAAGTGGCAGCTTCAGCCTCAGCCCTGCCTTTCTGGTGCCTGTGAGAGGGGTTCAGAGCTTTGGGTGTGGGGTCTACTGGTGGATGTGGGGTCTGTTGGTGGACACGGAGTGCGGCCCCTGGGCGCCTGGGCTCTGTGGGATGTGCTGTCTAAGCCCTCGTCTTGTCTTTGCCCTCAGAGCTGCCTGGAGTTCAGCCTCAGAATCCAGGAGTTCATTGAACTCATCCGGCAGAATAAGAGACTGGACGCCGTGAGGTAGGAATCGCGGGCGTGTGGCTTCTCCAGGGAGGGCAGGATGTCTGGCTGTGGCCGCTGCCGGCCCTGCCTCTCGCAGTCTGGGTCTTGGGATGTCCCCTAGGTGTTGACTCTGACCCCTGCCTGCTCAGGTGGCAGCTTCTCCCGCTGTTCCTGAATGGGGACCCGGGGAGCGAGGCCTGGAGCCCAGCAGGACACCCACCAAGGTGTAGCCCGAGGTGGACATCAGACCCCGTGGCTGCCAGCTGACCAGCTCTGGCGTCCTGACCATCCACGTAAAACATATGGACCGGGCTCCCGGCACCCCCTTTCCTCATGGGAAAGCGCTGCCAGCCTCTGTGGCTTGGGAGTGTCTCTGATGTGTGGTCCTCAGGTTGCCCCAAGCGTCCTGAGCTTGGGGACATCCCTCATGGTCATCAGGGGTGGGTGTTGACAGCATGTGGTGAGAGCACTTCTGGGTTCCCTGGCCCATCTCCACCCCAAGGGCAGCGTACAGTGAGCTGAGGCCAGTGGCGCCGTGGCGGTCAGGCCTGAGAAGGGTTGCTGGCTGTCACTGTGGCTCAGCCCAGTTAGGGTGTACGGTGCCTGCAAAGCAAGACGGGCCCAATGCTGGCTTCCCATGTGTGACCCAGAGCGAGCATCATCAGGCAGTGGTGGGCGCCTGGGCCGGGCGGGGCCGGCCAGTTCCTGCTCACCCTGTCTCGGGGCAGGCTGCTCCTTGAGTGCAGGGTTGTCTCACTCACTTTTGTGGAGGTTCCTGCCCGGCCAAGCCTCGTGGTGACGCATGAGTTGCTGTGTGGGCTGTGGGGGGCGCGTGGGCCTGGCCGGCTCAAAGCTTCTGGGTGAGTGCCCAGCAGATATGTGTTTGCCAGGAGGGGATGCCTGTCTACAAGCACGGAAGCCGGGCTGCAACTCCACATCCACCTGCATCTGCTGCATGGCCAGGTGTTCCACAGAGAGTCCACTCGGAGCAGTGGTGTCTCACGATGAGGCGCTGAGGGGGCTCCCCAAGACACACGGCAGGACCACGGCGGGTCCCTGCCCCTGCATGGGCCCTGGAGAGGCCCAGGACCTGCTCTGGCCCCTGATGCCTGACCAGGTCAGGCCTGCGGCAGGGAGCTCATCGCCCTTCTGTGCCTGAGAGGGCAAAGCAGGGGTCTCAGGACCCAGCCCAATGGAGATCGGGGTGTGACTTCCAGGGATACAGCAAGGGCGTCAGCCAGGAGGAGGGGCTCCTGCTCATCTCCGGCCTCCTCCACGAGGCCTCGGTGCCTGTGTCACTGGCCTCTGCCTGGCACCGCCTGCTTTCCTCCTGAGCCAGCCTCCATCTCCTTGAGGGCCCCGGCCACTATCAGCGCAGCAGTCTGAGAACAAAACGTGGCCATCTCAGAGTCCCTCTCTGCAGCCCCTTCCGTCACAGGTGTCTTCATCCGGGCAGTGGCTGGCCTGCGTGGGGGCAGTTTGCCGGCTTTGGTGGAGTCTGCCCTGGAGACTCTTGGGGCCCCGCCTCATGATCTGGAGCTGAGCTCAGAGCTGCACCCTCCGTAACCTAGTCAGTTGCAGGGGAGCAGGCAGGTCCCAGGAAGTGCATGTCCTTCCTCCTCATGAAGGCATGTACTGCCCAAAGCATCAGCACCCAGCCAGGCAGGCGTGGCAGATACCACCCCAGTGCCTTTCAGACAAGCGTGGCTGAGCTACACCCTCTGCTGGAGCCACCTTGGAGGTGGGTCTCCAAGAACCAGGGCCTGGTCAGGGAAGTCCAGCCTCAGCTCTGTGTGGCCCTGGAGCCACCCCAAGGCACCCGGGAGCTGGGCTGGGGTGAGAGGTGGGACGTCGGCCAGACCTTTGTTGGTTGAGGGATTGCGAGTGTCTGACTGGGAGGCCGGAGGGTAGTGTGTGTCACTGAGGCTGGACAAGGGAGAAGGGGAGAAGCCTGGCCACATGTCTCCTGAGGGCTCCTGGCCGGACCCTCTTGCCTGCTGTCAGGGTCCCAGCCCACGGGAGCTTCCCATCTACCACTGAACTCACAGCCCACAGGGTGCTGGAGCATGGGGCACCATCTACAGGGCTTGAGGCCAGCAGCCCAGCCTCTGGGTCCACACCTCGCCTGGGACGGCTGTCCACTGGGGCAGGCGAAGTGGGTGCTGCTGTCCGTGGCGCCAATGTGCCGGGCCAGGCAGGGGCCTCATTGCTGGGGTGGCTGCAGCTCTGCCCTGCCTGGGGCATTTGTGAGTTTGCCAAGTATGAAAGTGTGAGCCGCAAGTGTTTAATTTTTAACATTTTTAATTTTTAGTAAATGAGTAAGCAAATCCCTGACCCCAGGTGGCTGGGATGTGGCGTGCGCTTCGGTGGCTTTGTGTGAGCAACACGTGCTGTCTGTCACACACCCACACCTCAGCCTGGCCAGGCACAGTTTAGGAATGCTGTCTTTCGGGTGTCTGTGCTCTGTGTGTGTGTGTGTGTGTATTTTTTTTTTTGAGATGGAGTTTTGCTCTGTTGCCAGGCACGGTCTCAGCTCACAGCAACCTCCGCTTCCCAGGTTCAGGTGATTCTCCTACCTCAGCCTCCCGAGCAGCTGGAATTACAGGCATGTGCCACCACACCTGGCTAATTTTGTATTTTTGGTAGAGACGGGTTTTCGCCATGTTGGCCAGGCTGGTCTCAAACTTCTGATCTCCAGTGATCTGCCCACCTTGGCCTCCTAAAGTGTTGGGATTACAGGCATGAGCAACTGCACCTGGCCCGTGTGTTTATATTTTTAAAGAAAAATTGGATGTTGTTGTGTTTCTTATGTTGGCTGCATTGAGTCTGATAAGAAAAGTCTCGGTTTCGCTTCACCGGCTCCCTGTGGACGCACACTAGGCTGTTCTCCACTGTGTCTGCTCTGAGCCCCACATTCCGGGCTGTAGTGCTGTCTGCCTTGGGATTGAATGCTGGTATCACACGACGCGAGAAGTGTCAGCCACCACTGTTAGGTTTTCTGTTTCGTCGGGGTTTGTGGATCAGGATCCTGGTGTTTGAGGCGAGGCCGCTTATTAGCAGGCGGGAGTATCCATCTGCGGTTTTATTGATAGTGAGACAAGACGCATAATCCAGGTCGTGGGAATGAGAGCTCATAGATGTCAACCAAAGAGACTAAATCCCGTCTCTTCAGTAGCTAACCGCTGGCTTGTAGTCCCTGCCACACTCTGTGGGGTCAGCTGTGTGGACGCACCGCTGGCTTGTGGTCCCTGCCACACTCTGTGGGGTCAGCTGTGTGGACTCACCTCTGGC